TGGATAGATTTTCCCACCTTTTTATACAACATGAGAAGTTTCCAGGCAGGGTTTATGCCTGGGAGGAGCTTGAAGGTGCCTGGCTGAATGGACTGTGAAATCCTTCTATTTAAAGCTGGGCACTGGCTGAGTCAGGACTCCGCAGACACAATCCCCCTTCATCCTCAGCATAACCCCCAAAATGATGGTTTACACTGGAGGAACCAGGGCTCAGTGGGGCTCAAGGACTTGCCCAAGTCATCTGTAGAGTGCAGGATTTGAACCCAGAGCCTGAGGAGGGTTAACCACCTCACTCTGAGGAAAACCATGAGCATTCTGCCCCACTGTGGGGGTTGTGTAGGAAGCTCATGGTGGCAGATGAAATACTGAGATTACCCTGGGGATCAGGGGCCAGGGAGGAACCACTGCACAGTCAACATACCATTTCACAAGTGAGGAAACCAAGACCCGGACACGGGATGAATGTGCCCGTGGTATAGGGGGGTACAGTGTCAGAGCACCACAGGGCACTTCTAGGGCCCAGGTAGGTAATGGACGCCAACAGATAGCGACCGAGCCCCAGACCTTACCTAGCTGGCATAGGAAACCTTGACAGAGCAAAATTCTCAGGTGGCCACAATCCCTTTGAGTAGAAACAAATGAGAGGCTTTGGAAAACGGCAAAAAGAAAGCTTTCAGCATCTGCCTGGCTCAGTTGCCCTCAGGCCAACCACCACAGCCAGCATTTATTGAGTGTCTACTGTGTGGCTGGCACCATTCCAAGTGCTGTGACTTCTATACTCACTTGATTCTGCCCTAACCTTTTGAGGTGCATTTTGTTACCATCTCCATTTTGAAAGTAAGGAAACTGACGCCCAGAGAGAGTCCATCACTTGCCCAGGGTCACACAGTGCTTAAGCAGCAGAACGGGGTCCTGCCCCAGAGCCTGCACACAGCAGAGTGGTAAAAAGCCTTCCACAACCAGCAGTTTGTTAATTCTCCCAAAGACCAGAGGGCCAAGACCCTGGGTCTGATTCCAAGCTCAGCGACTGGCCTGCTTGAGACCACGAGTAAGTCACTGCCCAACTCTGGACTTCGTTTCCGCACCTCGAAGTGAGGGGCTCTGGGATTCTCTCCAGCTGAGTTTTCACACTGCCTCTGTAACCTCCTTACTGGTGACTTTGGCCTCGGTTTCCCCAGTGAGTGCTGACCTTGCTTGGCCACGACCGGGCCCGCAGTGAGCACTCGGGAAACCTCAGCAATCAATACCATCACGATGCTCCCACAGGGCTGGAAGGGTGGGAGCTACCCTGGCATCTGCCACATGCTCCCTGGACACTCTTTCTTCCTCAGGCCTCAGTTTCCCCAGCCACCCTTATTTATTCTTCTTGAGGCTGGGAACCCTCACAATTTCCCAAGGACAGGCTGGCAGACGTGGAGGGCAGGGGCATGTCAGAAACCAGCCTGCTCCACAGGCTGCTCCTCCCTTCCTGCGGACAGACGGACAGGCGGACAGGCGCCTCCACCAGTCCCACCTCTGGGGCCCTGCATGGGCCACACCCGGCTTGGGGAACAATAGCTGTGGACAGCATCCCCGCAGGGATCCCCAGAGGGCGGCCACTTCAAAGCCAGCTGGGCCCCTGCCCAGCAACCAGGCTGTGGCCAGCAGGCTTTGTGTGAGGCACGTGGGCGTGGGTGGCTGCCCCTGCCGTCTTGCACGCATGCTAACTGCAGCCGGCACCGTGCTCGGAGCTTAGAGAGTCTTGGTTCACTTGATCCTCAGAACTCGGAAGCACTAGGCACTATTATCAACTGCATTTTCTAGATGAGGAAACGAGGCCCAGAGAGGTGAAGTCACCTGCCTGGGTCACAGAGGTAGGAGGTGGTGGGGGTTGGGCTGGATCTAGGCCAACTGGTTTCAGGGCCCCCACAGTTTTCAGGTGCACTGCTGTGCCGTAGTCGTTCCTCCCTAAATCCAGAGTCGGATGCCCACCTGCGGCCTCCACCTCAGCTGCCTCTTTGGAAAGCTACCATTGTTTTGCAGAATTTGCTGCTCCGAGGACAAGCCCCTGAGAGCCCTTCTCTCAACTTTTCTGTGAGTCCTCCGGGATCCTCGCAGGAGAGGCTGGTGCCAGCCGCCACCAGTGGGCCACCAGCACGGGCCCAGCAGGCCTTGCAGTGGGACGTAGTACTTTTCCACTCTTGCTGGCCAAACTCCGTGGCTCCTCTGAGCCCTCAAACTGCCCTGGAAACTTGCAAGGACAAACTTTTCCCTTAGGGAAGTGAGGGCCTGAGCAGCAGGGGCTGCCATTCACCCAAGAGACCCTGGACAGGCGCTGAGTGTCCTCCCAGCACCCTGGGGGGTGGGGGTGGGGTGGATTGCTAATTAATTTCACACCAGGGGAAACTGAAACTGAGTGGTGAAAGGGACTTGTCTAAAGTCATGCAGTTTGTGGGGACAGAGCTGAGATCCAAAACTGGGTCTGGTCCCGATGACCCCACACTCCCACCCCTTTGTTTCTGACCACCAGACAAAAAGAGCTGCCTTAGAGGTGGACCATGGAGAGGCCCAGCCTCAGCAAACGTGTGTGCTCATTTCCAGGACCTTCCTCCCCTTTGGGTCCACAGAGCTGCACTTCCTGCGTGCAGGCCTGGACTTCTGCCCCCTCCCTGGACCCCAGGCTCTGTGACAGCAGGGACATGCCTGTCTCATGCCCTACTTACTGCCTCTTGGGCTAGCACAGGGTGAGTGACGCTAGGAGGCAGAAGAGCGTTGGGAACCCAGGTTGGGAGTGGAGCTGCCTGGGGCTCAAATCCCAGCTTGGCCACCAAGCAGCTGTGTGACGTTGGGTGAGTTAATTAACCTCTCTGGCACTCTGTTTCCCCATCTGTAAAATGAGACTAGTAACAGCACATACCACGAAACATTATTGTGAGGATCAAATGAGCTAATAAATAGCCCTAAGAACAGTGCCGGCACACACGTGCTACGCAGCTCTGCCATTACCGCTATTTGTTGAATGAATTAAGCCGCAGTCTACTCTGGGCCAATTTCAGACCCTTGGAGTACTGAAAATTACTAAAAAGAGAACTGCAACTTAGGGAGGCAAAGTGACTTCAACTCAGACCCCGATCCTCCTGGGCCCAGGCCTTCCTCCCTCCACCCCTCACCCCTCTGCGCTGGACTCATGTCAGCCACGGGCGCAGGGCCTCGGCCACGTGAGGCCGGCTGCTGCCTGCAGGCCCAGCCCCAGCAGCGGCCATGAACCCGGTCTGTGACCAGCACTGGAAGCCATGGCCAACAGGCAGGTGGGTGGGCAGGCGGCCCCTCCGCCGTGGAGCTCCAGGAAGTCCACAGAGCTGAGCTGTGTTTGTCTTGGCTTCTCTGGGCTGGCCCAGGCCCTGCTATTGTTCTGGGAACCACGCCCGCCTCACAGTGGAGGTTGTTGCTAAGGGTGAGGTGGGGGACATCTGGCAAGTCACGTCTCCGCTCGGCGACAGTTGCAGCCTGGCACCCTCTCTTCTGGCTTTGACTCTGTTCTCCTGCATGCTCCATCGTGTCTCCAGTGCTGCCCACTGTTCCTGGTGGACATCAGCCTCCTCCATCAGACTGGGAGCTCCCAAGGGTCTGGGTCAGACACACCTCAGGGCCTTCGCACTGGCTGTTCTCTACCTGGAATTGTTCCCTCTGGATAATGGCATGGCCCATCCGTTCACTTCCCTCATACCTTTGCCCCAAAGTCACCTTGTCGGTGAGCTTTGCCTGGCCTCCCTAATTAAAACTGCATTTAAAACTGCACCCAACCCTCCCGTTCTCCTTCGCTGCTTATTTTTTCCCAGAGTTCTTGTCACCATACGACTCCTACTTATTTTTCACATCCATCTTGTACAACCTGACTCTTCACACCAGGCCATCAGCTCCTGGACCACAGAGATGTTTGTCTGTTTTGTTGACCACTGCTTGTCCCCAGCCCCAGTCCTACAACAGTGCCTGGCACACAGCAAAGGCTCCACAACTACTTGTGCATAAGGAGATGACTATGTCTCCAGCACTGCTCAGAACCCGTGCTGCACAGACGCTTCCTGACAGACTCGCTTCCGTGCGGGGAAACCGAGGCAGAGCAAAGAAGAGAATTAGCATTCACTGGACAGTCAGCACCAACCACTGTGGTAAGGGTTAATGCACCTCATCTTCCCCTCAGTACCACCCATTTTATTGATGAGGAAACTGAGGCTCAGAGGCGAGGGAGTTACTTAACTTCACTGAGTCTCCGTTTCCTCACTGTTTAAAGAAAAGTGATGAAATGGTGTGCTCACAAGACAGAGGACAGTGCAGCACAGGTGAAAGTGCGCTCCAAGGAGGTGCGGGAAATGCCCGTGTTCGCCTTCCCGCTTGTCCTGGGTGGGACAGGGTCTCTAGCAGGTGTGTGCGTGCAGGTTTCTGAGGCCTGGACTGCTTCCTTCCCAGACTGGGTTTCAGGATTGCAGGGTGGCTCTGCCTGAGACACGGGCAGAGAGCCTAGGGGACACGGGATCACCCCTGCTCCAGGGACACTTCCACTCGGCCTGTACAGCCCCGCAGTACTTGCTGAGCAGGTGACTGCAGTAGTGGCTTGGATTGGTTCAGATCCACGATTTCACCTCCTTAGGGGCTCTTGATCCAGCGAGAGCATGCTCCTGGACTCTAAATTCAATTCCGTGACTGGTGTGGCAAAGGCCCCTTCACCAAAGGACTTTGCCCGCTGCCCAGCGCTGCACCTCAACTGCCATCTTAGGAGACTCTTTTGACTTGTGATTTTTTTTAATCTTAAAGAGGCATTCCCCCATCAAGATGTGAACGATAGGGAGAAAGTCAATAGGGCAACACCTGAGGCTGACGGGCCAACACCTTCCTTGTTCATGGCTCAGTGTCCTGGGTTCACACCTCTGAGCATGAGCTTGGCCATCAGAACAGCCACATCAGCCATCGTCTTGGTTATCAGGGAACTGTTCAGCTCTAATTGGTAACAGGTAACATTTTAGTTACCTAACATTTCATTATTGCCAATATATCAGTTACATACCTAAAACCTTAATTACAAGCTAACATTTGAATTATCAGCTGCCTCATTTGCTAATCACTAATATCCTAGTCACCATGTAACATTAATAAGAAGCAAATACTCTAGTTATAATTCATAGTTCCCTTAACAGCTAAAATTGTAGTTACTAGCTGACATGTGAGTTATAAGGTAACAATTAAACTGACTTAGCAGCAAAAATCCAAGCCAGTGCTTCTCAAACTGTTACGAGCATTTGGATTATCCGGAGATGCTGTTACAACAAAGCCTCTGATTCTATAGGTGCAGGGCAGGTCCAGGGGTCTGCATTTCCTACAAGCTCCTGGGTGACACTGACACTGCTGGTTGGGCGAAGGAGGGGGGGTTCTTTTGCAAAGCAAAGGTCCACATTGTTGGCTAATAGCTCAGAATTAACAACACAGTTGCCCACTAACCTCTTGTTACCAGCTAACTTATTAGTTACAACTCCAATGTTAGCTATTGGCTAACACCTGAATTAACTGCCAATGCCTGGAGACAGGAAAGAAGTGGTGGGCGGGACTAGCTTATATAAGCCCCTGAGAGCCTGACTCTGTTCTCCCTCTGAGCTGGTCCTTAAACCATTGTCAGCTTGAAATCAGACCTGGTGGGACTACTGACACCATGAAACTGGCAAATGCTACAAACCAGGGCTTTATTTTGGGGGGAAGGCTGGCTTATCGGCATACCACCACTGGCTACCTTCCTGCTATGTCAGGGCGAATTGTGGGCAGGATGGCCCAGTGGAGTGAGAAAGATTCTCTCTTCTGAGGGCCAGCCTTAATAGAGCTCTCAGGAGGCAGGGAGGGGACAGAAGTCCAGCTTACCTTCCCTGTTGACCTGACGCCCTTCCAGATGCAGAAGAAACAGATCAGCCAGACCAAAAGAAGGCAGAGAGCGAGGTCCCATTTCAGAGCGCCTGGGTGGTCGATTCCAGGGGACAAGCTCAGCACGTTGTGCCTTCAAGCAAACACAGAGTGTGAAGTCAGTAGGGGCCTGGCCCCCGGGGCAGAGGGAGCCAAGCCCTAAACTCTAACAGGCTGGGGTTCCACTCCCACCTGACGTGCTACATTTGCACAAGTCACCTGCCTCTCCAAGCCCTCGAATCCCCATCTGTCTCAGGATAGAGTTGTTGGGAAGTCAGGAAGGGGATGGATTCATACTCCTGAGTCAAACAAATCCGGGTTCAAACCAGCCTGGCCTCGGGCAAGTTAAGTAACCCCTAAGCCTCAGTTTCCTCATCTGTAAAATGGGTACTCATTTCTCTGTGGGACTTCAGCAGAACCTTCCTCAGTGTTGATATGAGCTAAACACTGGGTTCAAATCTCTGTTCCACTATTCAATCACTGACTTTGGACAAGTTACTCAACCTCCCCAGACCTCAGTCGTCTCATCTATAAAACGGGGTAACTACTCCCCCAGTGTTCTCTGTCCCATCCCTCTTTCCTTTTATTCATCCTTGTGTGTTATCTGGATCTCTCACGGAAGTGTAAACCTTAAGAAGGCAGAGTGTTCTGTGTATAGGTGGAGAACACACATCTCTCTATAGGGGCTCATTTTGAGGAGAAAACCCACACAAAATCCTAAATACGGGATTTGGGATGCAGCCAGCACTCAATAAACCTTAGCAGTTGTGACTGTCACAGCATTAAGATCCCCAGAACCTCTGGCACACAGCTGGCACCTAAGCAGTGCTGGTCTCTTCCCCAATCCCTGCTAGGGTTTTGAAGGTTGTGGAAAGAGACATGTAGATGGTTTTCAGGACAATCAACATGGGGCAGTCACCAACCCTGCCCAGGATCACATGCAGAGCTTCAGTCTTTGGAGACAAGACCCAAGCTTCCTGCCAATCCTTGCTGACCATGCACACAAGCACCCACTCACAGATACATTCCACGTGGGGGAGATACCATCTGAAGCCAGGGCAGGGCAGAGTGCTGACAGCCAAGAAGACCATGAAACTTAATGCCCAGAAATGGTACCCATTGTCCCAGAGTTCCGACTGCTGCTAGTCATCAAGGGCAGCCACACTGAGCATAGGGCTGTCGGCCCTGCCCACTGATCCTCCCGGGTCACCTGCCCCCTGAATCTCTAGGATGCTGATCTCAGGAGACAGGTACTGTACACTACAGGGTGTTCATGACCCCCTGGAAGAGGCCGGATTTCCTTCTAATGGGAGTCAGCTCCCTGTTCCGAGGCCACACTCTCAAGCAGGACAGTCAGAGAGTGGAGTGTGACTATGTGCCTCAATTTCCTCTTTTGTAAAATGGATATAATAGCTCCTGCCCAGGATGCTGCTTGGGGAAGCATTCTAGAACATCCTAAGCTCTCAGCCAGTCTGTGGATTATCCTCACAGTCCAGGTTCTGGTCTCAGAACACCCACTGGGCTAGGACCCGTTTTCCTTTATTCTCCTTTCTATCCAAAGAAGCTTCAACATATGGACCTTGAATCAATCCAAGATTCCTTACTCACTGGCATTCAAGCAAGGCCTTTTCTTAGTTCTCTGCTGTGTTCCCAACACCTCCAACACCACCTGGCACATAGTATGGGCTCAATAAACACCTGTTGAATGAATGAATGAGTGAATGAATGAACTCAACTGGGATGCAGCAAGTTCTCGTGTCACTCTGGACCATCCGTGAAATATTCCTACTAACTAGCCTTAAGGACAGCCTTCCTCTGTCCTTTCTTTGCTGGTCACAGTGACATCAGTGGGCTCCCCCGGCACTAGGATGGCGTGGGCTCATGATAATGCTGATAAAAAAACCAAAAGGTGCCAGCAACCGCTGGCCTGCCGAGACCTCGCTTCATCTCACCTGATCCAAAGAGCAAAGGTCCTTTGACCATTGTACAGATGGGAAAACCAAGGCTTGGAGTGTCCACGTACCCACACTCACAAAGCCAGCAGGCGGCAAAGCTGACCCCCGAAGCCAGTCCCTGCTCAATTCCACTACACTGCTGCTCTAATTTTAAAATAAAATAGAGCCTACACTTTTAAAAGAATTTTTCCAGTCCTCTGCTACATGCCAGGGTCACCTGGCACCTCAGGGCAGGGGGTATGTCCATGAGGCAGGTGGCCGGCCAACTGCATTCTGCTGGGGCCCTACCAGGCCTGTGGATCTGGCGGTCACGGCGGCCTTAGAACAAAAGGTCTTTCCCATTCAGCCTCCAGAGCTCAGCACGTTCAATGGAAGCCCAGGACATGCTGGTTGTGGCCCAAGCCTTCCTGGGGGAATGGGTGTTGTCAGGAGAGGGTCCACACCTTTGCACATACCCCCTGAGAGGCCCCCTGCACCCTCTCCACGGCCAGCTGGGCGCACATCCTCAGCCCTCAGGGGAGCCTTCCCCTGATGCTCGGATGACTCACTGTGGAGTCCCTGTCTGTCTTCCAGCTGTCCACTGTCACACTGGTGAAATATCGGCCTTGCCCAGCAGACACTGAGCACCCCAAGGGCAAGGACTCCATCTCACAGGCAGGCGCAGAGCAGGTACTCAGGTGACACTGGTGAGGTGGCCAGTCAGACAGCTTTTCTTTTGTTCTTCAGGACAAGGTGACTGAGAAGTTTAAAACCCCAGAGCCCTGACTGACCACACCAAGCTCACAGCCAGCTCCCTCGGCCCCCTTTCTGCCCTTCCCCCACCACCGGGCTGGGCAAACCAGCAGTGCCCACTGCCGATGGGAGCCTGCCACACTGGCTGCCCTGGGCAGCTGACCAGTGAAGGAAGCCACAACAAAGAAACCGAGTCATATGCTTGCTCCTCTGCTGCTGGTGGCAGTCCCTTAGTAGGATCTCACGGCACCATCCAGTGACATCTTAATGCACGTTTACTCTGACCTGATGATCCCATTCTTAAGACCTTCTTCACCAGCTGCCAAGATAAGTAAATACATACACACACACATAAGACTGTCTCCTACATGTATACTTGCTTAGGTGGCCAAAGACAGTGTCCACCCCAAGCAGTGCTGCCTATGGAGATTGGAAATGGCCCAAATGTCCATAAATAGGGGCCCAGTAAACCACGGAGCAGGCACACAATGGAACACTACACACTGCAATCAAACCCTGGAGATAAAAGGAAAGAGCAGAGCAAGGTGGGGAACAGTGCCCAGGAGCGCTCGCTGTTGTGTACAAAGGACGGGCTAGACATGCACTGCTGCTGGACACACAGGGACTGCTCTTGCAGGACACACAAGAAGCTGCCTGTCGTCACTGCTGATGCAGGGCAGGGGGACTCACTTTGCTATGAATTTTTTTTTACTATTTGAATATGTATATACAGATATTATCTTTATATAAAATTATTTAAAATTCTTAAAAAGGTTTGTAATGGGCCATGCAAATGTCCTAGGAATGGAATGAATGTGTCTCATCTGTCAGGTGCTGTCACAACAGGACCCGAGGCAGGCTCGGGGCCAGAGTGATCAACACCGTTTCCAAGACGTCTCTGGGGTAGCTGTGGGGGCTGGAGAGTACCCAGGTCAGTCTGAATCTCCACAAGTGCCTTCTGTATCCGACTCCCTGGGGTCTTCTCCTCCACAAAGAGGCGGGCTAGGATCCCTGGGAGGTCTCCCCGCTGTGTCAAATGCGAGTGCTCAGTAAACTGTAGAGTGCTGGGCCCCAAGGTAATGCTACAATGCCTGCACTCACCGGCGCCTCCTAACCACCCCAGGAGGAGACTGCACCTTATCCCTGATCTGACCACGCCCCCCCCACTGCTGCCACCTCTGCCCCAGCCTGTTGCCACCAATGACTGTCTCAGCAGCCTCCTCATTGGCCACCCTGCTTCCACTCTCACCCCTACAGTCAAGCGGGAATCTGTCAACACCTAAGTCACGACCCTCCTCTGCTCCACATTCTCCCATGGCTCCCACTTCCCTGGCCAACAAGGTCCTCCCCACCTGCCCCATTCCTTTTGCCATTCAGACCTAAACACTTTGAAGAGTGAGAGGAGTGCCTACTAACTGACTCCTGGACAACAAGTGTAAACAGAAAGTGTCCTGGACAAGCTGGATCAATGGTTGTCCCATCTCTACCCTGACCCCACAATGGCTTCTGTGGCATGTGCTCTGAACAGGCTGAGTACGGTCCTGCCTCAGGGCCTTTGAACTAGCTGTCCTCTTGGCCACACAGTCCATGGCTCATCTGCTCCTTTCCTTCAGGTCTCTGTTCAGCTGCCACTTCCCTGGGAAGCCACCCTGTCCCCCCAGTAAACAGCATCCCTGGTCACTCGCCTTGCCCTGCTCTGGCTCTATTTTTCATCACTTATCGCTTTCATATTACAATTTTCTTTCTGCTATTACTGTCAGCCCCAAGGAGGTGGGGCCTGTGTCTGTCTTGATCACTGAACAGTGCCTGGCACATAGCAGGTGCTCAATTAACATTAGTTGAGTAAATTAATTGTACCCATTTGGTTGATGGGGAAACTGAGGCTCAGACAGGTTCAGGAATTCACCTGAAATCACCCATATAGCAATCAACCCTGAGCCTGGTTCCTTTTTTCTGATGTCATTCTAGGGACCAGCCACACCCTGAGCCAGGACCTGTGTTGCCCTGGGCAAGGGTCCCAGCATCCCAGGCTTCCCTGTCCCTTTCAAACAGAGGTAAGCTGCATTCTTGTCCAAGAATAGTAATGATTCATTCCAGGGTGGGATCCAAAAAAGAATTGTCTGGATGTCTGTTTTGAGTCGGCCATCCTGCTGCCGTCCAGCCGGCACTCAGAGATGTAAATACGTCCTCCAAGTGGGCCAAATCGTTTCCTTTTGACTGCAGGCCAGGCATTTATTGGCCACAGCTCTCCCCTGGAGACTGGCGGAGGCAACAATTAGAAAAGGGCCCGTCCGCCCCAGCGCGGGCTGCACACGCTTTTCTCCACAGTCCTCCTTCCGACAGCTGCAGGGGGAGATTGGCTGAGCAGGGCTTGTTTGCAAATATGACTCATTTCTTTGATTCTAATAAAGTCTAATGATACGTGCCGAGCTCCCGTGGGGCTCTGAAGGAACTGAGGAGGAAGGCTCGGCTCCAGCCTGATGGGGGCCACTGGGCCAAGTCTGGCCCCGCCTGTCCTCCAGAGCCTGGGGTAAGCGAGAGATCTCAGGACAGAGGTGATCCTGGAGAGCAAGGACCAGCGGGATGGGGTAAACCCGGGACAGATGCTCTGCTTCCTCAACACTGAGCGACTCGGTGTTAAATAATAGCCAGCATGAAATGACAGTCTCTGGGGCTCCCGCGGCTTCACATGGGGATCTAGAAAAGGGCATCTCACCAGCTCCTGCTGAGAACAGTGATTTAGCACTGCAGACAGAGTGGGTGTGGGGGATCCAGGCAGAGAGAAGACCCCACGCGTAACCTGAGAGTGGGGACACACACACACACACACACACACACACAATGTGACCCGTGATAGTAGACTTGGGCTCCAAGACCAGCCCTGGGCTTAAGGCTGGTGGCTGGTGGGGACACAGACAAAAGGTTAGCCAGAGGCAGGATCCAGTATCAATGTCAGGGCTGGGGTCTCTGCTGCTTCTAGCTGCATATGTGATCTTGGGCAAGTCACTTAACGTCTCTGGTCCTCAGTGTCCAGGGGTCCCTCCTAAGCACATCACTTGTCTTAGCTCTTTAACACTCAAGCCAGGCTGTGAGGTGTTGGGACTGTGCTCTCTCCAGTTTACAGAGGAGAGCTGGGGCTTGCACAGGTGAGGCGACAGACCCCAGGCCATGCAGCTGGGATACCAGAGAGCCAGCAGGAATGATCAGATAGGGTCCTTCCCTACCCAGAGGCATCCAGAGGCTCAGCTCCCATGCGCCTCATTATCTGATTCCCAGGTAGCTCCCGTGCACCTGTCGGACAACGTTTGCGAGGGAAAGGACAGGTCAGGGGCGTATGCATCTGCACAGGTAGGAGAAGTGAAAGGGGCAATGGCTGGGGTTGGGCTTGGGTGAGGGGCAGAGACCAGCCTTTGGGGGCATCCTCACTGCTCTGCAGCTCAACAGCCACCAGCCAGCAAGGCCACAATAATGGCCAGCAAGCCTCACTCGGTGGAATCCCCGGAGCTGGTCACTGCAGGGGCTATTTTCAGGAGAAATCATATAAGATTCACCCAAAAGGAAACCAGACCCACTAAAGGCTGAGCCCTCTGAGCCCCTGTATACAGTCGGTGCTCAATACACATCCCAGCCTCTCTTTTCCAGTGTGTTCCCTCAGCAATGTCCAGAAAACACAGACTCAATCATATCCCTCCCCTTCTCATATATATTCCATGGTTCTCTTCCTAGAGAACGAAGCTCACACTTAGCCTAGCATTCAAGGCCTCAACCCTCCTCCCCGACCTGCCTCCTGTCACTTCCCCATGCATCTGGGCTCTGGCTACACCAATTACTTGCTGTTCCCAAATACTCTTGTGCTTGCAGAATACTGTGCCTCTGCAAGGGCCCCTCCTTCTGCCCGGAACATCTTTCCTCTCGTGTTTTCTGCCTAGTGAACTCCTACTCATCCCTCAAATCCCAGCTCATATGGTCCCTCCATTTGTAGATGGGGAAACAAGGCCAGAGATGGGGAGTGACTCGCTGCTCCAGGCTGCACAGCCAAGTGGATGGAGGCATGGAACTAACAAGAACCAGCGCTCAGCGAGCACTCACTGTGTTGGGATGCGCTCACTTAGTCCTTTCTGGCGGGAGGGATCATAATGTGGGAAAAGACACGAGAGGGTTCTGAGTTGGGAAACGACAAGTTAGATTCAGAATTGATTACAGAGATGCAAGGATATGGCAGGGAGAGAAGCGCGAGGCCAGTGCTGGTGCCTGGGAGAGTGACGAGGGTCCTATGTGGAGGGGGGGGTGACAGTGCTTGGGGAGAATGGTCAGATTCTGGATATACTTTGAAGGGGGACCCAAGAGGACCTGTGAATTAAATGTGGGATTTGAGGTAGAAAGAAGAGTTCTGGATGATGCCTAGATATTTCCCTACTTACAAAGCCTCTGCAGAGACTAAATAAAATGACGGGGGCAAGTTGCCAGCAGGATGCTCATGGGAGTAGCTATTCCCCATGGGTTCTTTTTCCCTTCCACCGTTTCATGCCCAAGAAAGGAAAGGCTCTTGAGGGCAGGAGGCTGGGTTCTTATCCTGCACGGGCCTGGAGCAGGGCTGGAACTAAGCCGAAGTCCCCTGACCCAGTTCTCTGGCCTCAGCCCATGCACTCACAGAGGTGGCAGGGCCGGTCCTCTCGCTTACACCTGCTTTCCAGGCTCCTCCTCTGTGGGCCGCCATCTTCCCCAGGGCTCTAGAAAGAGGGGAAGTTTTCTTTGAAGGTTTAGATGGTCTCACGAAGCCCTGCTCAAGCCTGGGGCCGGGTTGGGGGCCGGAGGCAGGCGTGAAGGCCAGAGTGGAGGCGGGCAGCGGGCAGGAGGGCAGTGCTTGGGACAGCAGACCCATCCGGATCACATGGGGGCTTGAGAAGGTGCCTGCAGAACCAGGAACATTCCAAACATAAACACTGTCTCAGGCTCTTCCAGACCAGAAGAGGGAGCCGGGGTGCTCAGAATGGGGATTCTGTAAGGCAAGGGGGACGGGCCACCCCAAGGAGTGATCTCCTTCTCTGACCCCTCAGGCCTCAAACAACAGAGAGACAAGCACTGTGACAGTGAAGAGAGTGACCCCTTTGCAACAGGGGAACCTTCTGGGCATTTCAGGAGGGGCAGACCTTTGAGGTCATGACACTTGAAGAGTACCAAATGCCCCCCAGGGGCAGTTTTATCCACTATGAGGACACTAAATAATAATAACAATGACCCACGGTTATTGAGCAGGTTCTCAGTAGCCATACAGGATGGCATTTGGTGAAGGCAGCCCACAGCCCTGGGGGACAGTGCTACCATTGCGCCAGGTGCTGGTGAGGACCCCAGTCCCAGAAAGGGAATGCACCTGCCCAAGCTAGAAGTGGCAGAGTGAGGGTTTGAACCCAGGCAGGCCAGTCCATGGTGGGGAATGGGGGAGGAGGGCAGGCCCCAGCAGACACCCCTGACGGGCTGGCTGAGAGCCAGTGCCCTGGGTGGGGCAGGCCTGGATCGTCAGGCTGTGCCAAGAACAGCACAGAAAGGACAGGGCTGTGGTCCCGAGCCCATTCAAGTGAAAAGAATGAAGCGCCAGCGTTTCTTTGTAAACTCAACTCTCCAGAGGGCGAGGAGCCGAGGGGCCATAAAAGTGCTTGTAATGTCCTCTTTGTTTGTGAGCAAAAAATATACACACATGACGAGCCCACAGTCCAAGCAGGCCTAGGGACCTGCCCACGAGTCTCTGCTGAAGGCTCACCCAAGCAAGGACTCCACAGCATGTGAGAGCAACTGGCCCTTCCTTGCCTAGAATTTCCCAGCCCTAATCCCAAAGCACGGCTACGACCAGTCAGCAGGCAATGCCCTCCTCTCTAGCCTGTTCCCTGGGCCAACATCTAAGAGGTGGGTAGACACCTTGAAATCAGCAAAGCCACACACAAAAGAGAGGGATTAGCATCTTGTGACCGTTGGGGACCACCGTCCTCTTTAACTGCATCCCCTGCCCCAGCTCCCAGCCTGCACACAAGGCCTTATCTTAGTTATTTCCACGGTCAAGAGGCCGCACTTGAGCGCTGAGCCCCACATAGCTCTGAAGAGTGGGGAAGGTGACGCACTAACAGCTTTTTGATCAGCCTCTAAGCACTGTGTGAGAAGGCCTGCCCAGTGTATCAGCTTGTAAGAGTCTCCAAACATCAGGCCTTCACATTGTCTTTCTGATGTCTGTCCTGTTTGTACACTCCCTGTAGCTACTGACTGCATTGTGGTGAACTGTAAAAGTGCCCACAGTTCTCCACCTTCTCATGAAGAGGCAGTTTGTTTCCCCCACCTTGTGAATCTGGGCTCTTCTCATGGCTTTCTTTAGCCCATGGGACATTCAAATAATGGCACAAGAGGAGGCCTGAGTGGTTCTTGTGCATTGGGCCTTGCCCCATGTGTTGTTCCATGAATGTTGAGCCACCTGTGACAAGTTCAGGGGAGCCTGCTGGGTGGTGAGCCCACACGGATCCGTTGCCCTGGCACCCCAGCCAACAGCCAGCCAAGCCTCAGAAGAGCGACCCTGAGGACCTACAGCCGACTACAGACACATGAAGGAGCCCAAGACCAGAGGAAGTGCCCAGCCAAGCTCAGCCCAAACTGCCAACAAGCAGGGTCAAGAGCTAAATGGCTGCTGCTTAAGCCACCAAGACTGGGAATGGCTGTCACACAGCAAAAGCTAACTGATACATATTTTGTGTTCTGTCTACTCACCTTCTCACTTGAGTAACTACTTCAGCTTCATATATGCATTTTTCTCTGTGCAATAACAGAGAATGTATTTTTTCTAAAATACATTAAGAAAACTGTATCATTTTCAGACAACATAAGTACGTGTACCTGTCTCTGGGAAACAATCTTCACAGGGATCCCATGGGGGTAGGAACAATTCACTCTCCTCAAATAACAGTTAAAGAAACTGAGGCTCAGAAAGGGGGAGTGACTTGCCTAAGATCAAACAGCCAGTGAATGGCAGAACTGAGATTCGATTCCAGGCCCATCTGAGACCAAAGGCATGGATTTATTTCCAGACCTGCACCCTCCTTCCCACTCCCCCCTGAAGATAGTGACTCGCACATCCCTGGGAGATGAGGGACTGGGCTGTCTGCTCTGTCCTGCCCGTGTCCCCCTCCTTCCTTCAATGAGGCCAGCCTTACTCCCAGAACTCGGTGACAGGGGAAGTAAAGTTGGTGGTGCTGAGGGTGATCCACAGACTCTCGTTCTTGCGCAAAGTGTCTTCCACGCAGTGGGGTGTGTTCCAGCTGTGGTTGCAGTGTGCCCAGGGCAGCTCCTTCTGGAAGGACTGGAACAGGTAGTATGTGGCCCAGGCCAGGATGACGATGTAGTATACATTCAGGAGGGACACAATCACGATGGAGGCGTAGCCGATGCCTGCAGTTTGGACAAGCAAGACAAGCAAGCATCACGAGGGAGGACAGACCCACCATGGCTACATACTCAACTGAAAAGCCATGGTATCCCCAGGCCTGGGGCCAGAAGGGGCTTTTTAGTGGTGACCACCAAATATTTGCAGGATGAAAGGATGAATGAACAGGGGAAAGAATGGACAGTTAGATAAATGGGATGGCAGGATGAGTCAAGCAATGGATGGAAGGAGGGACAGATCAATGAATGGATGGTTAAATGGGATGGGAGGATGAGTCAAACAATGGAGGGAGGGAGGGACAGATCAATGAATGGACGGTTAGATAAACGGGATGGTAGGATGAATCAAGCAACGGATGGAAGGAGGGACAGATCAATGAATGGAGGGTTAGATAAACGGGATGGTAGGATGAGTCATTCAATGGACGGACAGAGGGACAGATCAAGGAATGGAAGGTTAGATAAACGGGATGGTAGGATGAGTCATTCAATGGATGGACAGAGGGACAGATCAAGGAATGGAAGGTTAGATAAACGGGATGGTAGGATGAGTCATTCAATGGATGGACAGAGGGACAGATCAAGGAATGGAAGGTTAGATAAACGGGATGGTAGGATGAGTCATTCAATGGATGGACAGAGGGACAGATCAAGGAATGGAAGGTTAGATAAACGGGATGGTAGGATGAGTCATTCAATGGATGGACAGAGGGACAGATCAAGGAATGGAAGGTTAGATAAACGGGATGGTAGGATGAGTCATTCAATGGATGGACAGAGGGACAGATCAAGGAATGGAAGGTTAGATAAACGGGATGGTAGGATGAGTCAAACAACGGGTGGAAGGAGGGACAGATCAATGAATGGACGGTTAGAGGAATGAACGGTTGGATGGAGGAATGGATAGTTGGGTGGGTGGTTGGATGGGTGGTCAGATGGACAGATAGATAGCTGAACAGATGGGTGTTGAATTGATGGATGGATGCTCACTTGTTGCACAGATATTCAATTTGTTGGATGGATGTATGAATGGTGGTTGATTGTAAGGTTGGGTAGACGAGTGGATGAATGAATGAGTGGATGGGTAGATGAACGGAAAATGGATGAACAGTCTAATTATTGAATGGTTAATGGAAAAAAGGTTTAATGAATGGATGGATAGATTTATGTGTATGACTGAATGAATAGACTCACATGTATTCCCATCCCTTCCAATTAATTATAACAGTGATTACTTTGAGTGCATTTTTAAGAACTAAGCAGAGGATTGATAAAGCTACCATTAATTTGGTGTTTACTATGTGTACAAAGCACTTTCACATGTCATTTTGTCTTTTGAGCAACCTGATGACATAAGCACATTATTGCATTTCTATTGTACAGATGAAGTTGAGCCCAAAGTGATGTTCCCAAAGTCATAAAACCATTAAGAGAAGGAAGGGGGACCTGAACCCAGAAGAGAGCCTACTGAGCCTGAGTGCTCTCTGCCGCACTACACTGCTCGGCAGCTGATAGGTTATCTATCGACAACCTAGAGAGGTAGGTGCCGCTGGCACTCACCAAGCAGTTACTGTGCATGGGCCACCTGCCTTATCTCCTTCCCCTTCCTCCTACACAGCAGTAGTGGCAGTGTATTTGTCCTGTGCGGGCGCCAGCCTGTGTTAGGCACAGAGCTAAGTGATATGCATGAGAGTTCGATGTACCTGGCGAATGGCAGGTGCTCAATAAAAATTTACAGATCTGATGAACACCAGGCCCTGGGTGGCCACTGTCCCATACTCACCAGAGAACAAGGGGCAGATCTTTTCCCAGCAGGTGATGCCCCCTTCAGAGGTGTACTGGCCAATGACTATCTCCAGGAAAAACACAGGCAAGCCACTCCCAAACAGGAAAATAAAATACGGTATGAGAAACGCACCTGCGGAAAGAATGGGGCCCGGATCAGGCTGTGGCTGTCATAGGGCTGATGCAGAAGGTGCTCGCTCCCATGCCCTGCCAGCCATGGAATCAGAGAATAGGTGAGGGACATGAGAGATGAGGACCAACTCTCGCACCTGGTTGAGAATTCCCCAGGCCCAACACCTGCGGCCGCCACCACCTCTGCAGTGGGCCGTCTCTCCCACCTTCACATCTACAGGTGCTTTCAGCCCCAGGGCCTTTGCTTGCTGTGCCTCTGCCTGCCTGATGTCCCCACCTCAGTCCCTCTGAAGGAGGGCTGCCAGGCCTGTGAGGCCCATTCAAATGTCATCTCCTCGCTGGGGACTCCACCTGCCCTCCCTGGCCTGCCAGGGCAACAGGGTGGGCAGGCAGTTCAAGCAAGAGGTGAGTATCTCCAGCTGGGGGTGGGAGACTGGGAGGGATGAGGGCAAAGCACTGGGGCAGGGGTTCCTACCAGGCCTCCACTAAAGGCTTCAGTGGGTCCGTAAACCCTTTGAAACTGGGCAATTTGGGTCTAGAGTATGTGCTTTGTTCAGGGGAACGTCTAGGACAGTCATCAGAGTCCCAAAGGGGTCTGAGACCTACGAAAGGTTAAGAAACCAGGCTCTAGGGCCAGCCCTGTGGCTCACTCGGGAGAGTGCAGTGCTGGTAGTGCCAAGGCCGCAGGTTCGGATCCTATGTAGGGATGGCCGGTGCGCTCACTGGCTGAGCGTGGTGCAGACCACACCGTGCCGAGGGTTGCGATCCCCTTACCGGTCAAAAAAAAAAAAGAAACCAGGCTCTAAAGGAGAATCCTCCAAAAGGTGGTTCTCCTGATGCAGGCGGCACCTGGCCTGCCCATCTCTGCTGACAGACAAGCCTCTGATGACGGGCCACTCCTCCCCACTCAGTACTATTCAAGCCCCTTTTACAGCACTGGAGAGAAAGTCTCCATCAGGTGCTGCTGACTTTACCATCTGTAACAGCAGACATGTTAGAGGGCTCCAGCTCAGAGCCTTCAGCAGGCAAAAGTACAAAAATAAAGCCAAAAACCCTAAAAAACCCAAACCAACCAGCTAACAAACCCAACCAAAGACAGACCAAACATTTAAAAGGTATCTTTACGGGGCCGGCCCGGTGGCGCACTGGATAGTGCGCCGCTTGGGAAGCGCGGCGGCGCTCCCGTCCGAGGGTTCGGATCCCACATACAGACCGGCTCCCGCTCACTGGCTGAGCAAGGCGCGGGAGCAACACCGAGGCTTGCGATCCCGTTGCCGGTCCCCGGTCCGGTACGGGGGCAACACTGAGGGTTGCGATCCGTTGCCGGACACAGAAAAAAGACAAAAAATAAATAAATAAATAAAAGGTATCTTTACTGTATTTTTTTTCCTGGATACCTTTGCAAGTGGTTTCCATTCGTAGGAGGAAACAAAGCTTGTTTTTTGATTTACATTTGGTTAAGTTAGAAAAACAAAAGCTAACGTAAGAAAAGACAAAGTAAGGAACAGCCAGAGGCACATGTTTGGGGGAAACTCTTTGGAGATGGTGAACTGGAGGATCAGAGAGGGTAAGGAACCTGCTCAAGGTAACACAGTAAGACCATGACAGATCACCACCCTGATCCTTAGTCATGCTCATGGCAGGCTGATTTGGGAGATGTCAGGTTGTCCGAGGTCAGGGTGGTGGCTGGGAAGCAGGCAGGGAGAGGCCCCCACAGCCCCTTCCCCTCCAATGCCACTCTCTACTCTGGGGGGCTGCTCTGCAGCCCAGCCCCGACTCACCTCCACCATTTTTGTAGCAGAGGTACGGGAAACGCCAGACGTTGCCCAAGCCCACGAAGCCACCTGCCACAGACAGCACGAAGTCGATCTTGCTGGCCCACTTCTCCCTCTGCGGGGGTTTCCCCTCAGCCTCGTCTTCAGGCCGTGTGCCTGGGCTCTTTCCTGGCGATGGCTTCAGGATGTCCTTGTGGAAGTCTTTCAGACACTGCAGCTTCTCTTTGGTGGCCATCTCTTCACTTTCTATGGGGGACAAAACAGGAGCAATGGGTGGTTTGTAAGGGACCTACTGTGTGTCCTAAACACAACTTCTCTCTTCTCAACCACGAGCCGGCCCCTGCCTGTCCAGGCCTGTGGCAGGGGCCCTGGCATCCCCTTGTCTGTCCACTGCTCTGACAACAACATCCCAAATCACTCAGACCCCCTCTAGGAGACCAGCGTCCTCACAATTCAGGCTGGAGATACCAGGGACACTCGCAACCCACAGAATTGACAGGTTCCACTCCCGAGGCACTTGCTGAACAGAAGTACCACGGCCCCATGTTTGTCGTCCCCAAATGTCATACTTCAGCCTGCACCTAGCCCTGGCATCATCTCTCACAAAATGCAACACACCCCAGGCAGTTCAAGGCACCCTCTAAATAACAGCCTGCCTGCAGTTTCTAGAAATTAACAGATATTACTTTCTAACTTTGGATTTACATAAGAAATGATGGCTCCCATTTCACAAATGCCTCGGCACAGTGCTTAGACCACGGGAAGGGCTCATTCGGAACTGTTTAAAGAATGGATAAATGGAAACAAACGAGAAAGGGGATTCCAGGCTGGAATGCAAGCAATATTTGAAAATGGGGTTTCCATCCAGGTATGCAAAAATGTACGTTTACAAAATATATTTGCTATGTACAAACCAGTCACATCTCTGTAGCAGAAAATATAGTGGATTTGCCCTGGTGAGGGTTATTCACACGTGCTTATTAATCTCCATTCGTCCTCCCCGAATCTCTGGGCCCTTGGGAGCTGTTCATGGTCAGTCTCAGGCACTTCTGCGTGGACCCCACTACGGAGGCCCGCCACCAGCCAGGGCACAGCCTCTTTCTGTGTTTCCTCGGGACCTCAAGTGTTTACCCTCCCTGGCAGCTCGGCCCTGAGGGCCATGGTCGCATCCGCGTAGGAGGTCGACACCACTCACTATAAGAGAACAGATGAGGCTACCATGAGCATCCTGAGTCCCAGCCCGCCCAGGGGAGGGCACAGAGGTCAAGGCCAGGTCCTCCGCCTTCAAAGGTTTGCCCACGACATGGCAGGGGGACATAGAATATGAAGGATGGAGGAAACCAGATCTAGTGGACCTACCCACCTCTCTCTGTGCCTCTGTTTCCCCATCTGTGGAGTAAAAAGGATGACAGCAAAGGTGGACAACTCACAGCCAAGCAGCCTGGGACACAAGTGGTTTGTCTTCATGATCCAAATTGGTGGCCAACAAAGAAATATCAGATTTCAGAGAAAAGTCAAGATTTCTAGGTTTTCTTGAAAAGTTGGAAGGTGGGACCACATTGGGCTCATACTCCTCACGGTAACCAGCAGCTGGAGCATATGCGCCCCCCCCACGGGCACACCCTCGCCAGCTCACCACCTGCCAGCTCCAGGGGCGTCCCCTTGTCTTCCCATCAGAGTGCCCAACGCTACTTGAAGATACCTTGTGCATCCCCTTGCTCCATTGGTAACTGTCTCCTTCCCAACTAGAAAAGACTTGTGGGGACAAGGATCTTGTCTGCCTTGTTCACTGCTGGGTTCCCAGGGCCTGGTGCTGTGCCCAGCACCCAGAAGCGTGTCAGGGAAGAGCTATTAGGTAGGTGTTTCCCAGAGTGGCATCCACAAGCAATGGGTGCCAACTGCAAACCCCCAATTGTGTGACACATGCCAACTGCAAAACCCCAATCGTGTGACACAGGAGAGTAGCTCAGCCTCAGAGCCTCACAGGCAGGGCGAGTGGGGGCTGCCTGGGGACCTGAGCTGTGGACAGGGGACGTGCTGGCCTGGCTCCAGCAGCCGGGCCCATGGGGGCCGTGCTGTGAGGAGCAGAGGCACAAAAGCACAACAAAGCCCCCATTTCCCCCACGCCTCCTTCCTCTCCCTGGCTCGGGTGGGGTACCCCAATTGTTTTGCTATCTGGCAGCAAGCAGGCCACGAAAGGCTTCCTGGAGCCACCGGGCAGCTCACGGAGTCCTTCCTTTGTCTGCCGGAGCATCCGCGGCCTTTCTCTGCTCTGCTCCCTCAGGGACAGGCAGGGGATTCGGCAGGTCAATGGCTACTGTAAAAATAGCCCGGGCGGCCAGCATTGTTCCAGCATTAATCCGTGCAGCCCCCGATGGTTATCTGAACAGCCACTGTGGGCCAGCACGATGGGTGCATGATGGGAGGAGGTGGGACTCAACCCCCCAGTAAGGTGTTTGTCAAGGAATGAGCTGGATCCTCCACACTGAGAAGGACTGGCCCGCCTCCTTGGACCTCAGGCCTGGAAGGGACTTTACAAGGTCAGCTGGGCCCTCAGATTTAAGGGGGGGCGGGAGGGGGACCAGCTTCTGCTCTCATTCCCCATTGGGGGTAGCAGGCCTTGTGGCTTCACAGGCAGCTGGGACTGGCAAAAGCGTGTCCCCAAGAGGAGCCAGGGTCTACTTCCCTGTGGCTACCCTGAGAGTCCTGGCTCTGCCTTCTGGACCCCCAGACCCACTTGCCCCACTGGCACTCAGAGAGCTCTCTGGAAACCTGGGGTTGGGGAACAGCAAGTGGGTTCCCTAAGACCCTTTGCTCCAGTCTCCGGAATCCTACAAAGTGAGTCCTTCGACCCCATCCACACTCAGGACCCCATCATCCCCTGCCTGGCTGAGTCAGGATGGGGGAAGGGCTTGATGGCACAGAGCAGGGCCCTGTCGTGTGCCTGGCACTGCAAGGTTCTCTCCACTCCTCAGTCACAAGGCGCGCCCAGCACCATCCAGCACCATCACCTCTCTCACCATGGAGGATAGGCCCACCTGCCCTTCCAGAGCACACAGCCAGAGCCCTGCCCCTGCCCCTGCTGGGCTCGCCTCTGGCTCCCCCACTCAGGCTGGCTGCAAACCAGAGGGCCATTGTCCTGGATGGCCTCACCTAAGCCTCAGACACATGCCAGGATGAGGTCAGATGCTGATGCAGGAGCCCCCAGCCTCCTCTCAGGGGCCCATTCCAAGCCCCTCTGGGGTGTCTGACCAGCCCTGCCCCTGCAAAAGCCCATTCCAGCAAGATCCACGATTCTGTCTCCGGAACATTCCTGGCATCCACCCACATCTTCCTGTCACCATAGCAACCACCGTGCTCCAGGCCCCGTCAGCCTTGCAGGGGCGTCTGTGGCGCCTCCTCACAGGTCTCCCTGCTGCTATGCCGCCCGCCCCTCGATCTATTCTCAACACTGCAGCTGAAGGCAACTGAAAAAGCAAAGTCAGATCCTTCCCATCACTCCTAGAAGAAAACACAAGCTCCTCACCACAGCCCTGGGGTCCCAGCACTGGCCCACTGACCCTCTGGCCCCATCTCCCCCTCCCCTTCTCCACTGGCCACACAGAACTCCTTAAGCTCCCCCCACTCCTCAGGCTCCACTGCCTCTGAAGCCTCCCATCTGCTGTTGGAATCTCAGTCTAGAAAGCTCTTGGGCTCCCTGCCGGCTGCAGTAGGCCCTCAGGTGTCCCAACCACTGGAGGAATCTGAGAGTGAGAACCCTGGTCCAGAAGCTGAGAGCCATTTCCCTCTGGGTGACTTCAGACAACCTGGTGACCTTACTCAACCTCTCTGGTCCTCAATGTTCTCATCTGTAAAATAGGGATAACTGTGCCCATGTCACGGGCTGTTGTGAGAGTTAAGTGAGGGGGGTGCATGAAAAGTACTTAGAATAATATATGACACGTGGCAAGAACTCCACAAATAGTAGCTGCTATATTACTGTGCATGTTACTGCTATAATTATTATCAGGTCTACCCTGACCTTGGGGTATATAAAGCCTTAGTCCTACTCAGTGTGAGATCAGCAAGGCCCAGGGACACCGAGTGAACTTCAAGGTCACTCAGCTAGTTGTAACAGTGACCATGATGTTGTACTCGAACCCTTGGCTCCTGCCGCCTCTGTCCCCCTGCTGGCCCAGCCTGACCGCAGACGACACCTTCCCTGGAGTGCCTCCATCCATCTGTCTCTGCAGACTTGCAATCGGGCCAATCAGCCCCCAACCACTGGCCACCCCACAGTGCAGCAAGTGCTTATGAACAAGCCCCTTCTACAGGCTTCCAACAGCCGCTTCCCCGCCGACAAGAGCTGTTTTCCTTGGCACTGGGCCCAGGGTTATTTTGCAGAGACCGAGACACATAATTCCCCATTTTAAGAGCTTCCTCTTTGGTTATTACAGCTACAAGGGATTAGAACTGACTCTGATATAGAGGATCTGGGATGAAGCCTCCCTCCCTGCCCAGCTGAAAACTCTGTCTCTGTTCCAGGGGTGGCGGCCAGAGACAGCCGTGCTTGAAGACAAACTTGCAGATTACCTGATCACTTTTGGCACATTTGCAGACAGATTCAACCCAGTGCCAGTGATGCCGTGGATTTATAAAAGATTCCTTTTCTCCCGCCCTGTTTAAAACTACCCGATTTTCTCATTTCTGTGCGGAGCCGTTTATAAATGTGGTTTCCTATTCACTGCTCAAACACCCTTACTCTGGAAGACACCATTAGTGCATTCACAGATGAGGGAAGCTGGGGTTCAAGGGGGCAAGGCGTGGCCTGGCTGAGACTATCCAGCAGGTGGGGAGGAGAGAGACTCAGAGTCAGGATCTCACCTCAGTCTGCTTAATGCCTAAGGCACTGGGCAAAGCTTTAGAGGAGGTCTCTGCACTGTTTTGGAATGGGGAAACTGAGGCCAGAAGGGGAAAGGACTGCAGAGGTACAGAGCCAGCCAACTGGCTGTGGACCCAGCATGATGCCTGCTTCCTTCTTAGAGCCCGTCCACCCTCTCTGGCCCTCAGGTGCCCAAGTGCCTGCCAATGAGGCCTTGAACTGAGTTGCAGGCACTGCTGTGGCTACCTCCTCCAGTATCTGTCACCTCAGTCCAAGGCTTTGGGGAAACCAAGCACTGGCCTCTCTTTCCTGGATACACTGCCCAGAGGCTTGGGAGTTCTCTGCACCAGCCCGAGTTCTCTCCAGCCCACCTGCCTCACCATCCTCTG